GACATTAACAGTGTTATGGGTGCCTACAATTATCTTGTACCCGACGGCGTGGGCAACAAGACTTAGCACATGTACACTCTCTCTCTCTCTCTCTCTCTCTCTCTCTCTCTCTCTCCTGTAAGGCTATCCCCTTGATCTATAAAAGGGGATGCACTCTCTCCCAACAGGGGATCTTGAGTTCACTCACACACAACAGCAGAACTACTAAGTTCAAACCTCGAGCATATGCTCAAACACTTAGCACATAGCGGAGCTCCCATCACTCTCGGCTCTCCAGACCAGAGTCCGACCGGACCTCTTGTACCCCCCCATCTTTCTCCCTTCCCTTTGTAACCCCACAGCAAACTTCGAGCACCTGGGCTCAGGAATAAAGTCACCAACCAACTCAAACTGGACGTAGGGCACGTTGCCTGAACCAGTATAAACCCTGTGTCATTGAGTGCTAGGCCACATCCGATCACAATGTACGGCAAAACTACAAGTATTTACGTGTAGGTCATTTTCTGCACCGACAACATGTATTATCCTTTTTCTCCTCACCTAGCTTTTTCAACCCCTACTATTTGACGCATCTCTCGATGAGATTCAATGACGTTCTAGGTGGTCTTGCCGATTGTAGGACAACCTTGATGTGCCCTTCCCCGACGGGTCCTCTTGGGAGGTGTTCTCGAGCCTTTCGAGTGAAGAATGAGCATCGAATCCACTCTACCGACCTGTCGATCAGTATTGCTCATCTCGAAACATCATCGCTACATAATAGGCCATGTGCTGCCTTAGGCATGCTAGCCCCTCCTGGTATGTGACCCAAATCGGCATCAACGACCATCAAATAGGAAGCTGACCTATGGTCACAAGTGGGTGCGACGAGGCTTGGTTGCCTTCTTGTCGAGTAATACATAACTAATATTAAAGAGTAAAGATTTTTTTCCATCTCGTTTTGTTTTTTATTTTCCAAACTTCTCTGATGCCATTCGTGTCTCACATATGATCCGGACTCATGATCTGTGCTCGTATGAGTTAGAGCAACTAGCATCTAGTGATGATACAGAGTCTAATTCCAAGGCGTATTGAGATCTGTTGCAACGCATAAGCATGTTTGCTATACAAATAAAATATAAGGATCTCTAATTAGGTTATAATGCCACTTTTGGTTCTATTCGTTTCGTTAGTGTTCTGCTTTTTGATAGGAGGAATATTTTTTCAGAAGCTGATCGAACCAAACATAGCCATAGAATGAGTTTATCTTAGCTAGGTTGCTTGACCTTCATAGATGTATCTTTAAGCAGTCTAGTACGCATGCGTGTAACCCAACCTCTATTCTACCTTAATATAATGCTACGTGTGCATGGATTGTGCATATTCGAGAGAAAACAGTAGTGCCTCACAACGTTTCAAACCCACTAACTTTTTTCTAGCCCCCCCCCACTCCAATTCCTCACCTCTCGGTGACCTTCATCGGTGCGAGAATGAATAAGGATCCATAAATCCATTCGCACCTTGTAAATCTAGTTTTACACTCCAAATGATCTAGCCGAAGCGGCTTTTATAACCTAATTAGAGATCCTATGCCTTCGTCTTCGTCATTGCTAATACATTCCCTCGATCACTAGCCACAATTATTCCCCTCCTCAGAGCTATATTTGGTCCTTGCCATAGCAACCTTAGATATGTATACGATCTTTTTTTACATTAAAAAAAGAGAGAAATTAGAAGAAAAACCTAGCCCAGCTTTAAAAGACATGGATCACCACAAAAGTATATATATGCTTCGTCTTCAAAAAGACCGAATATAATGCTATTAGTGTTTTTATCATTTTGGACAAACCCATTAAGACCCTGTTTAGTTAGCTGACTAATAACTCTAAGCTAACTACGTATTAGGAGGCTAACTATTAGACTTGAATTGTTTGGATCCTATGAGCTAATAGGTGGATAACTTGTACTTTTACCGAGAATGCCAAGCCCGACCATGCCTTCCTCGCCGCTTCCTTTCGCTCACTCATCCATCGCTAGCATGGAGAAGCACTGTCACATTGTGAATAGAAACACTAAATAAAATTAATGGTTTTAATATTTGCATAAAGTTTACCAAGTTTAGTTTGAGCTAGCGCAAATTTAGTTATAGAAAATATGTGAATTTTCAAACTTTTCTAAATTAATTAAATTGACAGGCTTTTGTCGATGTGATGCTTGCCTGTTGCTTGATTTTGATGCTTTTGAGTGAGCTAAGTTTTCAAAACGCGTTTAGACGTCGTCCAATCCTTCCCAAGAATTTTCCGGACTTTTTCAGAACCTTTTTCCCATTTTCCTAGAGCAAAATCCAACTTTTGGATACTCTAAAATTCCTTCTCGTGGGCTCCAAATATTTTATTTGTATTCATCATCTCTCAATCTATCTCTAGAAGTTTTCCTTGAATTTTTGGAAGTTTAGAAATATTTTTCAGTGACTTAAAATGATTTCAGTTTTTTTCTGGAATTGTTTTTGAACTAAAAATGATTTTCTAGAAATTCTGAAAATAGGAAAAATAACTCGTTTTTCCCCCACCTCGAAATCTACCAATATATATATATGTCGGTGTTGTGGTCGACGAGCTCGTTCCGGATCTAAAATTTTCTTCGTGAGCCACCGCAGCCGCTGACCGCCCGGGCCTGCGTGGCAGTGCCGTCCCCAACCTCCCGCCGAAATCGGGAGTCCCTCATGCCGCCGTTGTCGTAGCTATCCCACAGCCCCGCTCCCGTTTTCTCCTCGCCGAGCTTCTCTATAAGAGGCCCCCACTCGCACTCTCTTTTCCCATCTACCAGCCGCCACTGCCTCCACCGAGCTCACAGCGCCGTCGGTAACCCTAGCTCGTAGCCGCCGACGTCGTGTTCACCGTTGGGAGCCCCTGCGCCGTCTCTGATCCCTTGCCGCTCTTCGTTACGAGGTGAAGAATATGTCTAGCCCCTTCCTTTTATCTCTACCGCTCTCTGGACCGTTAACCCTCGTCGAACTTCGCAGGGAGGCTCCGTCCGCCATTTCGAGCCGTTCGCCATCTTCGACTCGTCTTCGCCTTCATTTTACACCTACGGTGGGATCCCCGCTCCTTCCTTTTTCATCCCATGCAAGTCCCGAGTCGAATACTGCGTCGGCGAGCTCTCCTCGCCGCCGGCCATGTCTGCCGCCGCGCAGGCCTCTTTTTTCGGCCGCCAGAACGCCCGTGACGAGCTCGCCGTTGCCCGCTCATTCTTCCCATGCGCTCGGTTCGTTTCGCCATGGCCAGTAGGGTGCTTTATCATGTTCGCCGATGAAGTTTTGCCGCCGGCCAGGGAGGTCCGCCGCGCCGGCTTTTTTCCGGCCGGTCACCCTCTCCCTCTCTCTCTCTTCTAATCTGGTACGTCCAGATCGAATCCAATGGATCAGGTTCATTGATACCCCTTCGCGTGGCTAAATTGTTAAAGATACCCTCAATTTCTTCGTAATTACGCCTGCAGTCCTCGGTAAGATTCAAAATGATGAATTTTGATTTATTTTAATATGAAAATAGTTCGCGTTATTCACGGTTTTGCCATCTAGAGCCATTTTCATCATATTTCACCCGATTTGGATCCGATTTGATCCGTTCAAGTTGTGTTAGGTTAGTAATTAAGTAATCTAAATGTTTATGACACTGTTAATCATGTTTTCAACTTTTAAAATTCATGGCTAGATTTAATCCATTAAACTACTATAGGAAATCTTGTTTAATTCATAATTTTCACGTTTTAGATCCGATTTTCGTGATCTTCGCGTCTGTGTGTTCATAGCTAGACGTAGATTCATTTTATAAACCTTTCATCTTGTTTTTATACTATTGGTGTACTGTTCTAATCATAGGTTTGTTTGCTTTGTATGATTGTCTTTGGATGCTTGAATGTGCTATGTTGATCGAGTACAGACGGTGAGCAACTCGCGGGTGACCAAGAGTACTTCTTTGACAACCCGGATCAGCAGAAACCCTTTGAGCAAGGCAAGTATAATATGGGATCTACCTTGTTGTCCTATTCATCATTAATAATTTAATCATTTTGCATGTGTCTAATTTGATACCCGTAAGGACCTCCTAGTTATTGTTACCTTGTACTTTGATTACCGATGAGTTATACCTCCATATGGGTAGTTTGCTAGCGCTCAATTTAATTATACATGATCTGAATAATGACTAATGATTCTATGGAACGAATGGTAAAACTTGCTTTTAGCAACTGGACTATAGGGCGAGAGAGCAAGTAGCTTTTATACATGATGCTCTTGGCCCTCCCTGAGGGCTTATCTGTTGGCAAAAGCTAGGACTTATCTGTTTCCCGGAGGCACGCGCGGGCATCGGGGTGTGAGATGGGCCGCGCGGCGACTGCCGGGATGCCGCGGAGAGAAAAGAAACCGTTGTTGGCAAGAACCGCTGTGGGTATACGCGGGCGGGTATGCTGTCGCTCGGTGAAAAAAAAACACGGGGAGAGCCGACAGATAGTTGTCAATGTAAAAGAGTTTCCGCCAGTTTGCGACCGGGGCCGATTGTCAGGTAGGGATAGGAGATTTAGATACGTTGGATCTTAGTTTAAAGTCGATCTAAGGGAGGAAAATTAAGGTGGGTATGAAATGTTTGGGTGAGAGGATATTTTGATTTCCTTCGCTCCTTTATAGTATAGAATAGATAGACTTGTTCTGATACTACCTTTTGACATTCTGATATTTGTTGGTTCGCCTAACAAAATAGACCGGATGTAGTAATTATTAGTTGGGTGGATCTATACAGGGTCTAAGTTCATTTGCTGAAACCGCTATTCTGGGTGACCAACGTACAATATGACACAGATCGACAAGCATAATCTGTGTCAGTGCAGTAGCATATACAAGATTATATTTTGGAAATGATGTGCGACATATACCCACAGTTAGGACATGATTGCTCTCGAAAAGATTTCTAAGATTGCATCACAACAATTATGACATTTAGAGGAGGATGGAAGAGATATAGGATCGTTTCTTACTTGGCAACCTGGACGAAGACGATGCCCGTGATTACCCAGAAATCAACTTTATGTAGAAAAGTGGAGAAGCCCCCAAGCAAGGCGACGGTGGCCCATATGAAGGCGATAGTGCCGACACCCGTGGCAAGGATCTGCACGAAGACTTCGGATACCAAGAAGATGTTCAACAGCAGCTCCAGTACCTGGTCGTTGGAAGTGTCCCCTCTGCTTGCTCGTTCCAGGTCGCGTCTTCGAGCGCCCTGCAGTTGTAGGGACTCCCTCAACAAAACACTTACAAACCTCGCAGCCATCTCCGCCATTTAAAGCTCTAGCTTTGCACTCCTGCCGGGCACCAGGATTTCCTTCGGGTTAAGTAGGTCGAGGATGAGAGGGCAGCGGCCCGCGGCGCCTAAAAAGTAAAAAAGAGCTGAGGCGGGCGGTCGAGGCCTCGAGGGTGCATCGCACTACGGGCTAACTAAAGCCTAAAAGCACAGCGCAGCAAACCCACCGTCGCAAGGCATGTGTGGCCCATGGATTCGCCTGGGACACAGTGACACGGCGGTCCGTCATGCATTTTGTTGGAGCTACTTCAACGTACTCCCCGTTGTCCCTAATAAATCAATTCCTACAATTATCTGAAATCAAATATTTTTAATTTGATCAAATTTATAAAAAACATCAAAATTTATGACATTAAATTAGTATCATTAGATACATCATAAACTATTTTTCATAATAACCCTATTTGATATCACAATTTTTTGTATTTTTCTATAAATCTAGTCAAACATAGTTTGGCTTAGGTAGGAATTGATTTATTCACGAATGGAGGGAAGCTAGCACTAACTTTAAGATAATAAATATAAAAAAGAGAAAGACCAAAATCAAGGAGCTCAACTCACATTAGCTTTATCGCTCTCCACAATTATAGCTCTTATTCTTTGGTCCGAGTGAGAGCATCTCTATACGTAGGATTATCTGAGAAATAAGCGTCATACAGTCTGACGTGCCCCGACTGCCTATCACGATTCAAATCATGATGTCCCTCTACAGAACCACAATGGCATGCTGAATTTGCAATATCTGACACTACCATGTGTGCTGCCGCAATATAAAGTTCATCGTCATCATCCAAAGACGACGAATCCATCATTTCATTCAATACATCTTCAAAATCCATTATAGACATTTGATTAGGAGGGTCCCGGGAATTTGTCTGAGCACCTACACAAGGTTTGAAAAATAAGATGTCTGGTAATTATTTCCCGTGCATTACCTGATACTAGAGGGACTAATACAGAATATAGATGACTGCATAACTGAAATAAAAATCAACATGAGTTCAGCGAACTAGTTGAAGGCGCTGATGCTCCTTCACAGAATGGTGCATCTGACTACAGCATAGACGTGCAGTAGCCACAGGTTGGCACAGGCAAGACAATGAAGCGACGCTGTGGTGGGAGAGTGGGAATTAATTACAGAGTAGAGAAAGCAAGCACCTTGCTCGGCGAGAGAGTGCAACACCGGAGGAAGCCAGACGCACACGAAGTTTCCGTCGCCGCAGGGACGAGGCCGACAGGGCACCGCCGCGTGAGTACGACGTATTTCATGCCGCGGAAGTAGGACCTATTCTCGCGAGGGAGAAGCAGTCCGTGGCCAGGATCGGTTCGGATTTAGGGGCTGTTTGGCAGGGATTCTCACCCGCTTCACAAAGCTGAAAACCAGCTTCTTCCACCAAACAGCCCTCCCCACGTCTGCTTCACGGAACAAGCCGCGGGTTTTGCGTTGATAGAAGAGGAGAGAGATAGGAGAAGCTGAAAAATGTAGCTTCATCTGGCTTCACCGTCTTCCGTGGGGGCCACGCACACTGATGGGCGGGTTTGCCCCTGGCCGTCGCAGAGAGGCGGAGGCGCAGTGTCAGGAGCTCGCCGGAGCTAGTGAGCGCGGACCGGCCAGGGCTCGTAGGCGCGCGGACCCGCCGGAGCTCGCAGCCGCGCGGACGGAGCTTGTGCTCACGAACGGGGGCGCAGAGCAGCCGGGCAGACGCGACCGGCGCCGGGAGAGACAGCCGCGCGAGCGCAGCGTCGGGAGCCCGCCGGAGCTCGTGAGCGCGGACCCGCTGGAGGTCGCAGGTGCGCGGACGAAGCTTGTGCTCGCGGACCCGCCGGACGGAGCTCCTGCTCGCGGACGGGGGCGCAGAGTAGCCGGGCAGACGCGACCGGCGCCGGGAGAGACGGCCGCGCAAGGAGCAGCACTCCAGCACGCGATGTCACCGGTGCCGGTGCTAGAATTTTGAGGGCCCTGACGAACTCGTCCTCCAGCCATGTATAAAATCTTATAATATATAGGAGTTAATTTTTTTGTAAAGTGAAAACAAATCTAATAATATATTTTTAATTTAACATGTTTGATAGTTAATGAGGATCAATATAAACTAAAACGGCCTAGGAGTAGCCTATAAACTTCATTTCTCTTAAAATATAGACATCTTGTAAACATTATCGCGAGCTACGAGGGCTAAATAAAATTCAGGTGGCGAAAACTCCTCTGGTGACCGTAAAAAAAAGTAAACTAAAACAATAGTATATTTGTACTTCTAAAACTAATATGATTACCACAAGGAAGAATAAAACTCCATAATATCCATTGCTTCTTATAAAAAGATACTTCTTTGGGCACTTCTTGATATAGAATCATCAAGGACGGTATTGAGATCAATAGTGTCCACTTATGTATAGCACCTTTCTAAGATTCAATAAATTTATTTTCTAGTTTTTTCTGTTTTCTTTTCTGAGATCCCGAGAAATGTTTCTTAGGTAACATTCTAAGATTTTAACACCTAAATTAAAAAAAACATGACAGAGTACGAGTACTAGAAGTCTGAAATAATTAATTTGGATTAAAAAACGATCATGGAAAAAATACCTAGGTGCTAGGGCCTGATCGGGTGATGAACTGATGAAGTGATGATTGATAAATCGATGATCGACTGATCCGCCTGATCGCGTCGTCGTCGAGTCGAGCCTGTGAGTGCGCTGTTTCCATGTTTCCGGCTCTCCGCGGCGGTCGGCGGTGGTGCGACACGGCTCCATCTCCGACTCTCCGTGACTCCCTGAGACCGTGACCCTTCGCCCTGGGCGCTCGCGTACGTAGTAGACTCGCGGACTGGGGAAGCAAGCGATCGGCGCTCCTGATCCTGAACGTCTCAGGCTACCTATTAAGTGTCATCGGACTATAGGGCTGGGGTCTACAGTATACATGGGCCTGGCCCCCTCCCTCCCCTAGGCTCTCGGCCATCGCACCTCTGGCACCTCTCCAGGACCGGCACTAGATGTCACGGGCGGTGAGAAGAGATAAGGTGGAGAGAGAAGAGAGAGGGAAATAAAGGGAGGGAAAAAATGGAGAAAAGAAAAAATAGAAAAAGAAAGGGTATTATGGATATTTCAATCTTTCCAACAAAAAGAGAAGCTATTTTGTAAACGGTTCACCAAAACAGATTCAGCTCCATCGGTAGAGCTGTTTTTTGAGCCAAAGACATAAAAAGCTGATTCACTAATGAAGATGAGCTGTACCAAACAGGCTCTTAGATGGCAGGTATATTAACGTGGCATGTTTTTAAATATACAAGACGCAAAATAGATAGGATGTTGTAGACTCCTCTTGTTTTTAGGATTTTTTTATTTTACATAATGGCTAAAATAAGGAATTGAGCTAGTAGTTTTAGACGAACTCTTGCTCTGAATTCTCTTGGACAAACCTCACAAAATTCTAACTAACGTTTAGTGTATGGGACCACTTATTTATTTATTTATTTCTTCTTCTCCTTCTTCATTAGCGTCGACCTCCCGATCGCCGACTGTGTTATCTCTCCCTTCACTTTCTACAATCTCGATTGTAAATATACTAGGACAGTGGGCACGGTACGCCGCGCTCGTAGATTTTGCACGCCTGATTATATGTCTTTGGTCTCTGATATTTGTGTGTGGTAGTGCTGAAAATAAAATTGAACTAGAACGCATTTAGGATGGTTTGACAAATTTCAGAAAATAAAACCAAACTACATACTGAGTTTTAACACACGAAGGTGATAGCCAACACCACCGAAGGAACTAAGTTGCAAAGGGAGAAAACAGGTGGGTTAGTTGAACGGCACAAAAATAAAAATAAATTGGTATATAATAATGTTATGAAACCCCTTATATATAGAGAGAGAGACACACACACACTCATCCTGCGACCATGTAAATTGGAGAGACGGTGTAGGATATTTTTAGCCATGTCCATTATAAAGACAGATTTGCGTAGTAAAATAGGCGACGAATGGCTCAATGACTTGATGATATTCTATAATAAGAAGGAGATATTCAGCAACGTTGACAATGAAAACATAAAAAAATGGTTCCAAGAGATGAAAAAAGGTCGTATCTTATTGCCTAAAAATTTAGTGGTATGCTCTATTCACTTCTAAAATCATAATTTAGAGGTCCATATTAGTTTTCAATTATGTCTATTTGTGTAGATTGCTTCTCCGGATGAATAATGGGTGTCACCATCACGCGTTGCCTATTAGTTTCGTAATTTGGCCTTTCGGCAAGGATAAACTGCATCCTTCATTTTCATGATGTATTTGTGATTTTCATAGTTCATCGATGTTTTGATATAAGACTACTTCCAGCGGCGGATCCAGGAAATATTTTAGGGGGGGGCTGAACAACACTACTGCTCAATCTTAAGTCTCAGCCCCCCCCCTCCCCTACACTATAGAACTTTGTCTAAAAATTCATAGGGGCTCTACAGTAATTTGCACTGATTTGGTATGGGTAGGGGGGCTTGAGCCCCCCCCCCCACTGCTGGATCCGCCCCTGACTACTTCAAACTATTATATTTCTCTTTTGTGGGGGGCTACAGTGGAGTTATGTCGTTATAGCGCTTTTGTTTAACTCTTCCTAAAATTTTTCCTGGATCCACCACTGTGTAGGACAAATACATAGCTAACTGCAGTAACGGAAAAAAGGGCATGTCATATTTTTTTTATATGCCATAAATCTGTTCCTGGTTAGATTCAACGACAGTGCCATAATGCTATGATCTGATATTGGTGTAAGCCTCGACAACTGGTAGCTGAGTGGACCTTTGAATATCATGGCAGACTTCAGTAAACAACGGCACAGCTAATCCTTTCTTGGCCATATCCATGAGGCAACTGCCATCCGTGTTAACAAGCACACCTTTGGAAATTAGGAGCATAAGTATTAAGTTCAGAAAGCAAATATCTTAATAGGAACATGGCACCCCAATGGCCAAGCAGGAA